ACAAAGAGAGAGAGAGAGAGAGACGAAGTGACGGTGCTGAGGCTTTTGTTGTTATCCTCTTCTCTGAAACTAGAGAGAAATAAAAGATGAGAGAGAAACAAAAGATGAGAGAGAAACTGGTGGGTCCTCAAATGCAAAAGACAAACAGTAAAATCTTAGAGAAGGAGGAGACTTAACACGATCTCCAGTATTTGACCGTGGTTGGGTTAATTCTTCTAACCGCGGTTAAACCCCATGGAGGCTGCTATTGGAATTTTGCCTATCGAGTTATTTTCCTCTGTTTTGCTCTCATCTTAAGATCCATGGTCGATATGTCGTTTTATCGTTGATGTCACTCTTTCTTTTTAATTTTCTCAATTTCTTGATGAAAAATTATGTCAAATTACGTTTTAACGTCATAGTAGAGACATCATCCATTTACGAACACGCTACAATTAAGTTGGCATGTTTCTTACGAGTGCTCGAGAGTTGGATTAAGTTTGGTCTGATTGTGAATTTTTTAGACCAATCCGAAATTTCGAGCTAGCTGGGTTGACGACCCGAATGACCCAAATAATACTCACAACTCAACCCTACCAAACCCGCTATTTTTGGGTCGGGTTGGCATTTAATTAAATAAATAATTGAAATTAATTAAACATTTAAAATTATAAAAACTAAATTTTAAGGCACCTCTACACACCCGATCATTAATTGGTTTTAATTAATTTCCTTCGTTAAATAAATAAATTACATTGGCTTGAGTTGGAAAATAATAATGTAATTCAAATTATCTTAAATAACGTGGATTCTATTCAACAAAAAAATAATATATATCTTTTTCGTAATTTTACTATAAATGTTTCCATTTATTTGGAAAAGTTATTATTATTATTATTATTATTATTTTATAAATATAAACAAGCGTTATTATTAATGGTCTGTTCACGAAATTCTCTATTTATTTTTTTGTGCGGAGATTCTGTAACAGAAATTTGATGAGATCGAGTTCTGTATAGATAATTTAAAGTTTTCACTATTGTTTTAACAAAATAGTTATTTTAAAGTTTTAATTTTTCAATATGATTTTTATTAAAAATTTGTAAAAATAAATCTTAATAAACCAATATATTTCATAAACTATCCCTATAAAGTCTAAAAAATTCAAATTTTAATATTACAATGTAATTTTTAATAATTAAAAAATTCAAAGATTACCATTAGAGTTTCTAAATTAATTAATTTATTATATATATATATATATATATATATATATATATATATATATATATATATATATATATATATATATATATAATATGAGTTTAACTCTTTATAAAAATATCTTAAATTTTACTATTTATTTAAAAATATATATGGTTATTTCAAGATTTATAATATTATCTTTAATATTTTTTAAATCACTAAAAACTAACTTTAAAATAAAAATTAATTAAATTGTTGAACCTCAACTCTCTTCGACTTCAAAATATTTATCATAAATAATTAAATAATCCTATTATAATTTTTTTTTTCTAAATAGGTATATTATAATAACTTTATATGGAACATAAACTTATTTTAAATTGATTAGTGAATTATTAATTTAATTAAAACTATTTTTTCTAAAAATAATTTATTAGTATTTATTTTAATTTCCGTTAGAAAGTTAATTAAACTAATATAATAAATAAAAATTCACGTGGAGGGTGTGCATACCTTCCCAAAAGCTATAACGCTCAATTTCCACAGCTTATCACGTGAGTTTTATTACTTTTTAATTATTTTTCATTTATTTTTACAACTCGTATCATTTTAAAATAAATAAATAAATAGAAAATTAAACGATTATTATTATTATTTTGTGTTAAAGCGAGTATAACTTAACGATAATAATTTTTTTTATATATTTTCACGAGTTAATATGTTGTTTTATTAATATATATTTTTTTTTTGGAAGGGTTTGTTTAAAATATATTATTTAATTTTCTGACCTATAAATAAAAAGTTTAGAAAAATTAAATATTTTAGTGCTTTTTTAAATATTAAATTTTATGCCACCCTAATAAAATTATACATAAAAAAAAGTATGAGAATATAAAATCCAAATTTATCTTTTTTTATTAAATTAAAATTTTAAATGTATTCTTTTAATCTTCTAATTAATTATTACTTTCGTTTTTAATAATTAATTAATTATTTATTTATTTTTAATTCAACGAAAAAAAAATCCTATTTTCGTAAATTAAAAGTCTTTAAATACCAAAAAAAGTCGCAAATTGTGAGAAACGAGGACGAGAAGGCACTCGGATGCAAAGGATTTTCCAAAAGTGGATTTAAAAGCAAGGGAAAAAGTCCGCAGCCGCCGCATTGACAAAAGGCTCCATAACCCACGTGTGGATCCTTCAATCCTAATTGTCTAAATCTGCCACGTGTTAAGTGGACCCCATAGTAAAGTCTTCATATAAGTTTGGTCAAAGGTCAAGCCCTTGTCCATTGGAGCCATACATTTGTTGGTCCTTTCATTACTACTCTTTTTCCCCTTACCTTATTCTATATTTATTAGGGTTTATTTTTGTAAGTACAAAATTCAAAAAGAAAATGGAAAAGATAGAGTTGGTTGGGTCGGTTTAATAAAAAATTACTCGATTTCGGTTATGTGTTATTAGCGGGTAAAATGAATTTGATTACTTAGTGGCACTTTTTACGTGATTGTTGTACATCTGGTCGTCTCATCCCGATAATATTGAATCCTAGTAAAAAAAAAAATTATTAATGTCACGTAAATTAACCAAATAAAACATTTTTACTACCCTAAGCTTCGTATATTCAATTATTATTATTTCTTTGTATATGTCAATATGACTATAGCTCAATTAATTTAAATATTATATTATTGACCCAAAAATCGAAAAATCCAGTATAACAACTCAAGTCCATCCCTACCCTAGTAGGATTTTACAGATATTGTTTATTTCGACTCGTTACATATCGTCGTTCTCTTCTTCAATCGATGTAGGATCTTACAATCTACCCCCTTTGAGGCCCAACATCCTCGTTGGCACTGGTACCCCTCTTCAATCGATGTAGGATCTCATATTAAGATATTCACTCCTATGTACTACTGAACTAGAAAAATAAACATCAAAGACGTAGAAGATCTAAATGTGAGATTCTGTATCGATTGGAGAGGAAAAATTCTCGAATGAGTAAAAAGATCCAACGACTTTGAAAGACTAGCAACCTAACCGTCCTAAATAACCTGAAACCAATAGCTTCACCAAGCGTAAATGTAAACTCCGCTCCATATGGGTCTCCTCCCTTCCCTATACAAATTAGCTTCAAAATTATTTGAAGACAAAGACATGTCTATATGAATTATTATTATAAAGTATACAACTTTATAAAATCCAAACAGCCTTAGCCCAACCCTCAAAGTTTGGGCCCTCCATAAAGTATGGATTAGACTTTATGGCATCCCTCATCCATAAGATTATCATTTAACCTGTTTTGAAAATGATATCATTCAGGGACAGTTTTTCTTCTCATCACTTTCCATTATAACTCATCATCCTCTGCTATGAACAAGGATCGAGCTCGAATCTAATAGGAACAAGTCTCGGATTTAACACGAAAATCTCGACTCGGCTTCAAGAAATAGATCAAAACTTGATTGACATTGAAGATCTACACATACACATACACAAGAAGCTACATTCTAATCAGATCATTGTATGTAGTAACAGTCAGTACTGTATTTCTATAGCTATGAATCTTTTTTCTCAGTATAAAAAGGAAGCTACCATGGCTGGCTTCGAGATTTCTTGCAACATCGGGTTCGTGTTCTTCGTCTCGATGATTCCGTTGAGATTTAGCTTCTCAACTTTGTTGGCTTCAATCTGTTTCAAGAACAAAACAAGAGATGAAACAAAGAATCTATGAGTCTAACATCAACACAAACACAGAACACTAAACTAGGATTAAGAGTTCATTACTTGTTCTGTGTAGGATTCGGGCCGCTTTTAGGAATTTGGCGAAGGCTCGAGGAAGTCGACGATGCCGTTTCGGGGAGCTTCCGAGCTGTGAGAGGTAGATGAAGATGACCAACTCGAAACGAGGACGATGGGAGGAGCGTTCTTGCAGCCAGAGCAGCAGTGTGAAGATGGAGAGGAAACATCAGTAGAAAAGTGTAGAGAATTGGAAGCAATGATTTGCAGATCAAAGGTTTCATGTTTTTTTGTGAGTTCTGAGAGAATCAATGTCTTATTTGTCTTGCAACTCCAACAACTAGTGGTCTGCCCTGCTTATATAATTCAACAAGTTTTCTAATTTTGTCTTCAACTGCCTTTCTTTGGTTCACTAAACAGAATACTTACAAGTTACACCCCTGTATTTTGTATATTTCGCAGATCGTACCGCTCCCATACGTAGTGTATTTTACGAATCAGACCCTAGTATTAAAAAAAAGTTCAAAACGCCCTTGTGAACATGAAAATATACCCCTTTATCGGTTAGCTTTGATAAAACCGACTCACATGACAATCTAAGCATAACTCAACTGGTTAAAACACATTCCGTCGATCAAGAGGTCAAAAGTTTAAATTTCTCAACCTCCATTATACAATATGAAATAGTACATTAGAACAAAAGACAAAGACTGAAAGCTGTAAACTTAAGGTGTACAAGGGTAGATTTGCAAAATAAATAATAAGGGTGTGATGTGCAATTAATCTAAAAACTCGAGTATTTTACAAATCAGACCCTTATATTAAAAAAAAAAATATTGAAACGCCCTTGTGAACTTGAAAATATACCCTTTTATCAACTTAGCTCAAATCGACTCATATGTCAATTTAAACATAACTCAACTAGTTAAGATACATTCATTCGATCAAGAGGTCAAAAGTTTAAATCATTCCACCTCCGAAATAAGAATCAATATCATACGACAACAATACATTAGAACAGAAGACAATTACTCAATTGGTTAAGACACATTCACTCGATCAAGAGGTCAGACGTTTAAATCTCTCCAACTCAATTATATGAATCAATATCATACAACAATAGTATATTAGAACAGAAGACAATAGTTCAACTGTTTAAGACATATTCACTCGATTAAAAGGCTTTAAAGTTTAAATCTCTCCACCTCCATTATACAAATCAATATCATACGACAATAGTACACAAGAACAGAATACAAGGACTTCAAGCTGTAAACTTAAGGTCTACAAGGGTAGATTTGCAAAATAAATAACTACATGGGTGTGGTGTGCAATTAATCTAAAACCTTTCAAAAAATCAATGGCCTGGATTAGTCTGTAAAGATCAAACACAGTTTTCAAGACAGATCCAAAGGGTTAGTGGGTGTGAGCTGAGCCATGTGATCTATGTTTGACTTAAGGAACTTCCAATTTCCAAAGCAAAATCAAGACTTGAGAGAGGAGTTCTTGCTAATTATACAATAATTTGTTCACCTGCTATCACGTGGTCATGCACGTGATCAAAATAGCAAAAGAAATTTGTTCTACTCCTTGACAAAAATGCTACTGCTACCAATCTGCACAGTGCTTAAAAAACTATCACTTTTCCTCTCTATGTTTGACTGAGAGCTACATTCAAATAAATCAATCTTTCCTTTTCCTAAACTATTCTTCCCCTTTTCAGGTTGCCAATTGGATACAATCTGATGTGATGCACCTATAAGCAACAGTCTGCATCCATGGCTGATGATTTGATGATGATCATCATCATCATAAGATGATAGACTTACGAAAGTTATAGAGAGATCTACTAATATAACTCAACTTACTGGTTTTGTTACGATCTCTACACGGTCCTACTAGTTTCGATGTCGGGAAATACTTCGACGAATCATTGTGTTCTTGGGATGAATGGTTAGAATAAACTACTGAGCGTTTAGGACCTGATGGATGTAAGTAAAAGTAAGGAAGAGTGCAATGTGTTGAAGAGGAAATTCATAACCCAACAAATTGAGACTACTTACATTTAGGGGTAGTAGTATCTACTGTTTGTTGATAGTATTTCTTCAGCTCCAACTTTCATGTTGGATTCAAGCATTTTCTTCTTTGGCCCTCCTTCAACGACCGTGACGTCGACTATGAACGTTGCACAAACGGGGCGGTGATCGGAGAATTGGGATTCCCCACGAATGTAATAAAGTTGTCGTATGCCATCACCGTGCCATAAAATTCTGTCACACCTGCATTCTTCTATGAGTTTTCAGGGTGTGTTATGAGGGTTGACTAGAACAGGGTTTTGTATGATTTTCTATGTCATACGTACCAAGCTGGAGTTCTTCTCTTCTTTTTCGATTTTTTCGAGTCCCCGGCGTACGTGTCGGAGTTGTAGTAGTATTTATACGTGGGGGCGAAGTAAATTGTTCCCTCTTTCCATCCATAGAACACTCGCCCTGCATCCCTTTCGATCTTTAGCTATAACATCCACCAAAACATAAGAATCAGCACAAAGCATCTTTGATTTTAAGCACAAAATCTCAAACTTCAACCACAACTCTAGAGGACGATTACCTGATCTTTGTTAAGAAGTTCATCCCAGTGATTCGCTTCCATAAGCCTTCGAGTTTCCGAGTAGCTCAAAGCTATCCGATAGTTCAAATCTCCTAACCATATTATTCGTCTTCAGCCATTTCATCAACACAAATGAGAAGCTCAGTAACAAACAGTGATATTCTTATTTATATGTATATGTTTTTTCATATCATTCAGTTCAAGATGCTCACTTGTGTCCAAGGATTTTCTCTGGCATTCGACCGTAAGGTGTTCTGCATATTTTTGGAAACTGAGTGTTCTTAAGGATTTCTATGACATCCAAATTTCTCCTCAGTTCATCCCCTTCTTTCTCTCCTGAAGCTAAGTGGCTGCAGATGAAGCAAAAGCTTGTCTGGTGAAATAACATGCTCACTGAAATGCACCCCTGGAAGACAAGAACCGACCCCCACGATTTCAGAATGAAACAATATGGATGTTGTAATCGCCCAAGCCCATCGCTAGCAGATATTGTCCGCTTTAGCCCGTTACATATCACTGTTAGTCTCACGGTTTTAAAACACTTATGCGAGGGAGAGGATTCCACACCCTTACGAGGAATGCTTTGTTCCCCTCTCCATGTGGGATCTCACAATCCTACCCCTTGGGGGTCCAGCGACCTCGCCGGCACACCGCCCAGTGTCTGGCTCTGATACTATTTGTAACAGCCCAAGCCCACCGCTAATAGATATTGTCCTCTTTGAGTTTTCCCTTTCGAGCTTCCCCTCAAGATTTTTTAAAACGCATCTACTAGGAAGAGGTTTCCACACCCTTACGAGGAATGCTTTGTTCCCCTCTCCATGTGAGATCTCACTATCCACCTCACTTGGGGTTCCAACGTCCTCGCTGACACACTGCCTGGTGTCTGGCTCTGATATCATTTGTAACAGCCCAAGCCCACACTATTGATATTGTCCTTTTGTGATTTTCCTTCTGGGCTTCCCCTTAAGGTTTTTTAAAACGTGTCTACTAGGGAGAGGTTTCTACATCCTCTCTCCGACGTGGGATCTCACAAATACTAAGCAGAATTATCCCATATTTGTAGACAAGGGAACTCAGAAATATATAAGTATTACCTTGTTGCCGAGGCATCCCATGATTCCACGACTGGTACTTGCAATTCGTAAGTGGCTAACATATGGAACAAGCTCCTTCCTCATCCAAATTGTGACAAAAATGCCAACCATTTGTTTACTTGCAATGAGACCATACTTCATCTCGTTACCGCTTTCAGGAATGGAAATCTCTGAAATATCAAAGACGCTTGGATCCTCCTCTTCATCTTCTTCTGAAGAAATACCATCTTCACTCACATGTGATGGTTGGCACCGAAACCAGAAATCCTTACTGCGTTTCCTTTCAAGTTCCAGTGGCGTACAATTGCAACTTTTTAGCTTCCTTCTACTTACAGTCCTGAAAGTTTTACTGATGCTTTTAAGAGAAGGTTTTGGAAAGAATTTAGAACCGCTAAAACCAGTGGCAGGTTTCGGTCCTCTTGAGCAGCCATTTATTGGGTTGTTCAATGATTGGTTAATTAAGGATAGCCATCTTGCAGCAGGCTCATTGTCTTCAATAACGAGAACATTTCCAGCATTTAGAGGCACAATTTCCTGAAAACTGATGATAAAAGAAGTTAAAATAACACATCAAACCGTTTGAATGATTGGAAATATAAAGAATCACATGAAAATTTTGATTGGGAGTGGCAGATAGAGGCTACTATCCATTGTTTCGTTGGAAGAATAAGAGCTTGGGAACTTCTTTTGTAACCGCTCAAACTCACCGCTAGTAGATATTGTTCGCTTTGACCCGTTACGTATCGTCGTCAGCCTCACGATTTTAAAACATGTCTACTAGGGAGAGGTTTCCACACCCTTTAAGGAATGCTTTATTCCCCTCTCCAACCGATGTGGGATCTCACAATCCACCCCCTTTGGGGGCTAAAGTCCTCGCTAGCACACCACCCGGTGTCTGGTTCTGATACCATTTGTAAGCCCACTGCTAGTAGATATTATCTACTTTGGCCCATTACGTATCGCCATCAATCTCACGATTTTAAAATGCTTCTTTTAAGGAGAGGTTTCCACACCTTATAAGGAATTCTTCGTTCCCCTCTCCAACCGATGTGGGATCTCACAACTTTTCAAAATTATCAAATGGAAATTTGAGCAGTGAACAAAGTTGGCATTGTTGTCTACTCAATAAACAAACCAATATAGTTTCTTGGAAAGAAAAGATTGGAAAAGAACTTTCAAAGCACAGCAAGATGAATGAACATATTCCATGTTGTCGTTCTTAAAAAGAAGGAAAAAGGGAGGGGCAGAAAACATACCCGAATATGTAAATATCAGCGCTGTCGTCGTTCTTAATAAAATCGTTCAGATTGAGGTTAGTATGGGGAGATTTTCCTCCAACATTCCATGTTGCAACAAAAACACTGAATCAAATCCCACCAGGGAAAAGAAATGTTAAGCACAAAAAGAGTAAAAGTTCATCTTCTGATCAAAGCAAAAGAAAATCAAAGCAATCTCATAACAAAATACCGGAAGGATTGAATTTCTTCTTGATCACGACTCATTAGAGAGTCCGTGCTGCCTAAGAACGCACTGTCTAGCTCTAGATCCGAAATCGATTCTAAGCCCTTTTCTGATAATCAAACAAGACACTCATTTATTATCAAACTCCATAGTTTAAGCCAGATGATAAAAAAACACTCTGAAATAGCTGGAAAAGGAACAATATCAAATAGAGAAACTATACCAATCTTGCTTCCTTTCTCACACTAATTTAAAGATGTGAATTGAATATATTCTCCATTGAAAAAGCTACTTCAAAATTATCATCAATGACTTATCTGAATAAAACTTTGCTTTCTATGGTGATATTTCTTTCTTTATCATAAAATTAAAATAAGAAAGATGTTAAGTTAATCCCTTTTGGAACTCACCAGTGGACTCAAATGAACCTTTGAACTCTTTCTTCCCATTTCTTTCTCCCATGGCAAATATTTTTCTAATGAAGGACTGAAAGCAGAGGAAGAAAAAGAAATAGATATTTAATGATACTAACTTCAAAACGTACAAATTCATGAGGAAAAAACAACAAAAAATACTCTAGGATTCAAAAAACTGGGAAGAGAGAAAGGGAGCTGATGAATCATTCACCTTCTTTCTTGAGTCTTGTTCTTTGAAAGTCATTGTTGATATTGGAATTTCTTATCCATTCTACTGACCCAAATCGAAGATCTACAGCAAAACAAATCGAAGTAAACATAAATTGAAATTTCACTCTCAAGAACGTCAAGAAACTAAGGACGCAACACCAGCAACCATCCCCTGATCCACGATATCAATAATCTTCTTACAAACCAATTGCCAATGAAAATAAATTGAACTGAAGCCAATGGTTAAGACATAATCCAAATCAAGAAGCTAGAGATTCAAATCTATTTTGAATGAACAGAACACAGACAGAACAGGAAACCAACCAGACAACAATGATCTAATGAAACCAAAAACTCAATAAATCCAAAGAAAACGCCAATATTACCACAAAAAGAAGCAAAACTCAGAATTAAGATTTCCTCAAGGAGGAACAGATTTGATCAAATTTAAAACCAAAGTGGCAACCCATGACAAGGTTGACAAGTGGGGGTTATTCTTATTCACGAGAAAGTCAACTGTCGGTATACATATAAGAAGAAATAAAACAAAATGAACTTCCACGATTTCCGCAGTATAGAAAATTGAAATGATAGAAAAGAAAAAAGAACCTGAAATTGAATGTTAGAGATTCTAGAAGAAATAAGCAAAATGTCTGATATTCAATGGAGTAGTCCGAGAAATTTGCTGTTCCAAAATGCATTGAAATTGAAAAAAGAAATGGCACAAAAGAGGATAATGATAATAATAATAACAACAACCACGATCGATTTGCTTGATGTGCAAATGGAGGGGTAAATTTTCTCGGGAAAATAACGCGAGAAAGAAAATGTTTCTAGATTCTCTCTTTCTCGAAAAAGAAACGGTCATAAGAAGAGAGGAAAATCTCAAAATCACCTTTGAAGAAACGCCGAGTTCCGCAGTGTGTGATTTGATCCTTTCATTGCTGCAATTGGAGAAGTTGTTTGATCGAAGTTCTTCAAATGTTCATCGCAAAATGGCGAAGGATCAAATCTTTTGATTGAAATCCTTTGAAATGATCATCAAAAGAAAAAGAAATGGATCAATTTCCTGGAACTAAGTGCAGAGATGAAAGAAAATTGCAACAGATTCCCAAGTAAATGGAGTGCTTTCAAATTTCTGTTCTTCCCCTTATATAGATAGAGCTTTGAAGGGAAGCAATTTCAGATGCTTTAATTTGGGTAGCATCCACATGGAACTTTTCATTTTGTTATGTTTTTTTTTTTTTTTTTTTTTTTT